ATATCATTGGTATAAAATTAGTTAGAAATTGATGTGTTTTTGTGAAGATTTAAAATATGTAGTAGGCAATGAATAATAATAATAATAATAATAATAATATTGGTGAAAATGTTCGATTTAAGAAATTATATAAATAATTAGCAAAGTAAGCTTGTAATATTAGAAAATTCTTAAAATTAGCCAAAAATAAAGTAAACAAAAAAATTATTCTAAACTCGTCGGGTTGACCTGAATCCGAAACTTTGGGCTAGCGTTGAACATTTCTTGACCCGTGACTTGAAGTGACCCAATCCGAAATGACCCATGACCCGATCAAAGTTTTTCTTTATCGGGTCCCCCAAAGTTTTGAACCAATGGGTGCTGAACTCTTCTGAGAAGAATCTGCCCCAACTTATTATTATAGTAATGAAAGTAGAGTGGGCCCCTTATTGTTTTGGTCCTAGAAATATTTTTAATTTTTTTGGCAGGCAAATAAAGTTATTATGCTTGAAGCATATAATGATGATATAGTTGTTACTGATGCAACATGAGACGCGATGATAGATGATGGGAACCTGCGTTGAGGACTCAATATATAAGCACTCACTGGGATAACTTCTTCTCTGCAAGGTTTTAGCAACCCAAACCTTCTTGGCCTTTTTCTTATAATTATAATAGGAGTCAGCTGGATACATATATACAGCGTAAACAGAGAGATCGAAATCCATTCCCTATCATGCCTAGAGCACCACCAAGAGATCCTTTAGTAGTCGGCCGAGTTATCGGGGATATTTTGGATCCCTTCAATAGGACTGTAACTCTCAGGGTAAGCTTTAACAATAGAGATGTTAATAATGGATGTGAACTCAGGCCCTCTCAGGTTGTTAATCAACAAAGAGTTGAGATTGGAGGTGATGACCTTAGGACTTTCTACACCTTGGTAAGTCCCTTAGCTGACCTAATAATGAAATTACCAAGAATAAAAATCCAATGTAAATAAAAGTATGATTATTTTGTCTTCCTTCTTTCAGCCCTTTTCATCATCATTTCTAAACAACCGTCATGTATTTAAATACATGCTTTTTTAACTAATGAATCTTCTCATTCGTATGCAGTAAGATTTTATAGTGGTTTCTTTGCTAAATGTGACTGTAGGTTATGGTGGACCCCGATGCTCCTAGCCCAAGTAATCCGAACTTGAGGGAGTATTTGCACTGGTAAGTACACTCCTTTTGTTTTTATTTTTATTTTTTGTAACTTTTGCATTGTAATAAAATCCGAAAGGTCTACATACAGTAATAAAATCATATTAGTTGTGAAGTATTTTATTTCAATCGATTAAAATATATTATAAATTCCTTCGCTCAAAGAAAATTATGATATTAAAACAAATTTATATGATAAATTATCTAATTGTTGTTTCCCTGGTGCGATATTTGGTGAAAAGTTTAAACGTCAAGTGTCGTTATCTCGTGGTCTGACTAAACTTATAATTTATTTTGTACCTGAGAACTATTAGTATTTTATTTGAAATAAAACTCTAAACCAATAATTTTATCTTATAAATCTATTCAAATTTTATTGAACATAAAACTCTAAACTAACTTTTTTATTCGACAAAATCTATCCAAGTTTTTATCCTAATAAAAAAAATTCAATTTTTTTATTCATAGAAAATATATCCAAATAAATCCTACGTAGCGTCATACTAATAATTAATTGTTGCTTAGCTACATGGCGTGACACTTTGCGAAAAATTGAAACGCCAAGTGTCACTGTTTCGTGACCTAGCTAAAAGTTTAGCTTTATATATTAGTTATATGATATGATATTAGTTTTGTGTTTGGATGTCCAGATTGTTGATAAAATTTAAGAATAAACTTCTTGGCTTGAATGTTAAATACGATCATATAATTCCATTTAATAATACATGATATTTAGACATGCGATATCATATCGCTTTATTTATATAATGTTGTACTTTTTGTAGGTTTGTTTGTAAATAGATATCTATGTTAGTGTTGGCTTGAAATTATTTTTATTAAACTTATTAAATTATTTTTACCAAACTAAAATTATTTTTACAATTAAAAATTATTTTTTACTAATTTTCTATTCTTTTTAATAAATTAAATATATTATAAATGGATCTTATTTAAAAAAACTTAAATATATTATAAATGGATCTTATTTAAAAGAACTTTTCAAAACAAATTTTATGATGGAAATAGAACCGATTTTTGGGATATTTATTAAAAGTTATGATTAATTTTGTATATATGAAATTGTAGAAGTATATCGATAATAAAACTCTATACAATATTTTTATTTTAGAAAATCTATCCAAATTTCGCTTACATGGTATCATATGTGTCACAATAATATCTAATTGTCGCCTACGTGGCTCAACACTTGAGACCGACATTATATATTAGTGATATGATATGATATATGAAAAAAGATTAGATTTTTATATCGGATATATTATAAGTTCCCCTCATGTGAAGGATTTCCTATTGTTCTTTTCTTTTCTTACCTTTTTTTTTAAAAAAAAATTAAGAAATAAACTTTCTCGCACAAAGCAGTTAAAAAAAATAAAAAATAAAAATAAAAAAAAAAAAACAAAGCAAGGTGCTTGATTATAATTTCATCTTTTACAATATATTGAATTCAAACCTCATGATTTCTAAAATCTGGTCAAAACTCAACACATGCAATCAACCACACGAGCAAGAGAATTAATGAGAGAAATCGCTTTATACAAATAATAACATAAGCAATGATGGTTCATCCACAACTCCACACCAAGACATGGAATTGCTTTTGCGTTCAACATCATTATATCAGTGGATAGTGACGGCATAAACTTACACTTAAAATATACTCCCAACTTTTAGTCCAAAGTAATTTTCATCTGACCGACGAGTAAGTCCTCTTTATATACAGTCTTATGTTTATGACCACTTATTAATTATTGAGTCTTATTATTAGACCGTCTAAAGGTGTTAGTTTGAATGTCCGGATCAGGTTCGGTGAGTCCAGGTCAATTTTTAAAGTTGAGTATATCTAATTTATTGTGTCCTCGCAAGTCGTAATTTAAATCGGATATTTTTCGTGTCAATTTCGGATCGAATCAGGTGTTTTGACACCTCTACATCTTATGCAAGTTTTTGTATTGGCATAACTCATTGTAACCTCTTATGAAAGGGCTTTTTGATAGAGATACTATTTCTGTTCTCTTCTCATTGATCATTATCGATTTTAATAGTGACATGATTGAATATACTTCCTATGTCCCCAAATTGATATGTGCTTTTCACCCAACAAGTTTATCCCTTTATAAAAGTCTCATTTCAATATTATGTATTTCACATTTTATCAATCAATTTTCTTCTCTTATTCTTATATTCACCTTTAATATCTATTCACCTTTCTACACACTCATCCGAGGATTTTGGGATCGGTTCTTCTCATCACCTGTCCTTGTGACTTTTTTTTTTTTTTTTTTTTTAAGACAGATTAGTATTTTATTAATCAAGAAACTTGGTATCCAATACAACATAAGGGTTAATCTCGCTAGGATTGTTATTAACCCAAACTTGTTCCACACCAAACGGAACTAATCTAGTTAATTGATGGGCTACAAAATTCTCATCTCTTCTAAAATGAGACCAATGCACGCCATCAAAGAAAAGAAACTTTTTTTCTTACATCAGTTCACTTTTTTCCAAATTATTTTTGTATAGACGGAATATTTCTCCTCATGAGAAGTGAAAATTCTAATTTAATCTTATGACTTTTGATTATCACAATTTTTTTTAAAATGAACGGGTGAAATTGTTTGTTTTTTGATTTATCTTTAGTTATTAATTTTAATTAAAAAAAATTAATTATTTTATATATTTTTTTATTTCCAGAATTTCGAAGATATTAAAAAATAATTTCTAGAAGATAAAAAAATATTTAAAATAATTAAAAAATTATTTTTACTTAAAATAACTAATTAAAAATAAATTAAAAAAACAAATAATCTCAATCGTCCATTTTAAAAAATTGTGGTAGTCAAAAGTCATAAGACTACATTAGAATGGGCTTCCTAATATTTATTTTTCTTACCTTTCTAAAAAAAAATAAAAAAAATGTACGGAATATATTTTTTTTAAATAGCATTTTGTTGAGAAAATACCAAAAATGAAGTTCACATAAACTTGTAACGCAATAATTTGTAGCTCATCACATGAACAAATTTAGGACAATAATTTGTATAAAAGTACAATTATGTAAAATATTTTAATGGAAATATTTGCCTATAAATAAGTTCACTGTTTTGTGAACTAAAGAAGTAAGAAGAAAAACAACCAGATTTTCTACTTGCTCTATTTACTCTCTTCTATCTCAAAGTTAGAAAAACTTTCATTTTTAACACATTTCAATTTTAAAAGGCACGTGATAGCATTTTTCAAACAATTCTAAAAATAATACGAGTACATGTGAACGATTGTTTATGGATAGAGTAAACAATTTTAATGTAGATGAGACTAACTAGATATAATCATTAAACACCTATAAACTAAAGATAAAGTCCTAATTAATCATGACTATTTAAACCTAAAAAGTAGATTTAAAAAGAAGAGTTCATATGAGAAATCTCTCATATGAGAAATTTCTCATATGATATCTTCCTCTTTTATAAGCAATCAGAGAGAATGTCTGCCACCTTTGAGGAAAGCACAAGATAAGAAAAAAAAGAAAAAATCAAAGCAAAAGAGAGCATATTTTTGCAATCATACTGTAATACAGATGATTGAGGAATTCAGTTGAAGTAGAAGAAATAAATGATGTGGTCAAAGTTTAGTGATCTCCCTTTATCTTTGCATTATTGACAAATGTAAGAAATGAGCTGGAATTTTGTACTTAAGCTAGTGACCCCATAATATTTATTTTTTCAAAAAGTTTCCTAAAGTAGATCCAATAATATACCATATTATATATATTGGCAATATCATGCCATAGAATGTTAATCATTAGAAATTCTTCTTCCTCTTTTTTTCCCTCCATTTTTGCCAAAAAAATCTTCATTTTACAAGAGGAGCCAAAAAGTTTGCATTAAGTTTGACAAAAGTTTCCAGCATTTTGCTTACAGACAGATAAATGGACCCCATTTTTGTCCCTAATTAAGTCTAATTACACCCCTCTTCTCTAATTTTCTTCCACTAAACCCTCTTTTGTTCCCCACAAAAAAAGATTTTCCCTCTTTTTTTCTTCTACCCACCATTTTCCAACTTTTTTTCTTTCATCTTTTTCCTTTTGTCACTTTTTTCTCATGCAAAATAACCTGCTCCAACTTTCTACAGGAATACTACTAAACATGTTAAGCATCATTCCAAGCAGCAAAAACAGGGACATGAGCCAAAGGAATGGCTGTGGCCGCAACTGCGGCAGATGGTGTTAACTGCCCTGCTGATGCAACCCAAGGGAAGACCATCGAATTCGACGTGGTTGATGACATATTCTCATCTGGACTACCTTCCCTAGAGCTGTTCAAACTTGTAACCAACGATGATGCACTCGAGAAATGAGCTGCTGAACCCAACTTTTGACTTGGACTTGCCATTTCGAGCTCAACAAGGTCCTGTAAGCCAAGTGAGAACGAAGGGTTAGGGTCAATTGACACCATCTTCCACTCTCCAGGAGAGTCATTGCCATTGTTGGCTACAGTTAGATCGCCTACAGTAATGTTCTCAGTCGAACTAGGGCTCTCCTCAAAAGCCTTGATCAATTCCAATTTGTTCCTTCTAGCCTGCTCTCCTGCTAGAAGAGTATTGCTGGACATGATCTTTTCCACATGGTACCGACTTATGTCAAAATTAGTCACAGCATTTGTTCCTCGGAACTTAATTGCAGCTACATCATAAGCTTCTGCTGCCTCCTCTTGGGTGCCTAAGAGCATTATATTCAATACATGCTTGGTAAATTATCAAATACAACCATTTTCTTAAATGTAAATTAAAAGTTTAAAACCGCAATAAATATGGTCACAGCCATATTCCTATGTTATTTGTGCACATTGGAACTTATTTGTTCATATGACCTTAAATTAGTTGCAAATTGAACTTATATACTCGTAGAATTTATTAGAGTGAATCTAAACTAATTTTTCCTCAACTTACTACATTAAAGTGAAAAGAACAAAGCAACATATCAATAAGGATACTAAGGTCAGCCTTAGTAAAGCAATTCTAGTAGTGGCATAAAAAAGAAACATAAGAACAGATATTGACATAAAATGGAAGACCAATATAAAAGCTTCTTTAAACATTAGTATAAAAGAGCCTCATAAACCACCACTACAGGTCATTCTTTCTTTTCTTTTTCTTTATTTTGAATTTTTTATTATTTGACCAAAACTTATTATAATTTGAAATGTAAAATAAGTTAAGGGAAAGCTAGCTCACTAAATGTCCCCAAATAGAGGTCCTTGTTCCCAGCTACTCTGCCTATCCTAGCTTGCCATCTACCATGCTGATGATGCCTGCAATTCAAACTTAGATATTTAAATACCAAACATTTATTATGTTAGAAATTACCTTATGTCCATATTTATGACAATTTCAAATAGCAAAAGATCCTTCAGAATGATGTGATGTTCTGAAATAAAATTATTAACATTTCCACTAAAGATTGAAAAATGCAAGCTATTTAAGTGCAACATTATTTTTTCAAATTCATTCATATAAAAAGATAATACACTATTTAAGTACAACTGAGTTTATGTTAAAAATAAGGAAAAATAAGGGAACCTTGTCACTCCTCTGTACATCGAAGCCCCTCTAGAAAATCCACTGCTTTTCCTGTGAATTATGATTGAGATTAATTATGAGTACGATAATTTGATAATATACGCGTAATAGCTTAATTTATTTTGTTTACCTTCTTAAGTTAGCAACATATTCTTGACGAGTCATGTTCTTCATTTCTTCAATCTCTTGTTTGTAGTTTTCTATCTAACATTAATAAAAACAGACAATACATTGCAGATTCAGATAAAATAACCTTGATAATATTGAACATAATAAACAAAATTTGTAACATACAGGGAAGTTAGTGTGAGTTGAGAGTCCCCAGTATTTCAGGGCAGCAAGATCATAAGATCTAGCAGCTTTTTCTTCCATATCATAGCCTCCTGAAAATCAACCCCAATATGAGGAGAATGAGAGTAAATCCATGGGCCATAAGAATATACCAAGTCCATGATACACATGTACTCTCTTCATTCGTCCCTTAAATATTGACCATAATATTTTTAAAAAATTAAATAACATTTTTATGTTTGAAGACATGTTTTGGGGATTGTAAAATATTAAATGGGGCAATGTTTATAAGATAGGGGGAGTGAGAAAAATTAATTAGTGTAGAGAAAATTGTTACTCGTAGCTTAAGAGACTTAGTAATCATGTCATACCATGAACAAAAGAAGTTCGGACGATATAATATAATAAACTATTCAAGAAAAAATGAGTGGATTAATACTCTCCCCGTCCCATATTATAAATCCTGCTTTTCTATTTTGGAGACCCAAAATATTGTTCTTGTTTCTATTTTTGGGTAGTATATAAAAACCATTATACCCTCACTTTTTTAACTTTATTCATTGAACTTCTTAATTTAACCTTAAATTATCCACTTGCTTTGTACTTTTTTTCACTTCTCTCTCTAACTTTTGTCTATGATTGTACTTTCACTTTTTTCCCCTTAAATTATCCACTTGCATGGTACTTTTGACTAACTTTATTCCACCTTTAATGTACTTCATCCACTTTCTCCTCTTATTTCTTAAATACCGTGAAAAAATACAAATAAAAACTATATATATTAGGATGGAGGGAGTAGAGAAATCACTTACCAAGATAAACTGAAAGAGGTGCAGCATTTGGTTAACAGGCATTCCAAGCAAGACATGATGAAAACAAACAAACAAAAAAATTGATTATCAATTAGTCAGATATATTTCAGTGATGACCAAAAATGGACCCATAAATTTATGTCCTAGCACTTTCAAACAAATGATAGAAATTAGGCTATTTTTTAGTATTTTATTGACTAACCTTGTCTCCCTTTTCTTGTCTGCCCCTCTTTTTTGCAACTATTGTCCCATAAATGAGCTTCAAATCTACCAGTCCATCTATGCCTTTACAAAAAAATAAATACAGAATTCATAAATAAATTAAGAAAATAAGATAAAATAAAAATGTTACGAGTACCATAAAACTCATAAAAGTTTTTTTTTTTTAATAAATAAAAATTGTAATGAACATACTTGGTAACCCCTCTATACTGAGAGGTCCTTTGGCCAAAAGTGTCAATAGACTTCCTATGAACAGTCTGCTTAGATTGACCCACTTTGCCAAACCCTCTCTTCTTGGTGTCCATTGCAACAACACCAACACAAACACTCCCAGAAGAAACATTAGCCGTCGTCGACGCCGCTGTTGTTGTTGCTGGAGCTGTAATGCAACTCGACTGCGAACCGGGGCTCATGGACAACGAAAGAGACTGTAAATCACCACAGCCGCCCACAGTTGGTGCAGCAACAGAAGCAAGAGTATTTGTAGTACTACCAATGTTATCTACTGTTGTTTCCCAATTCTTTAGCAGGTCATCCTCTGAAAATCCTTGGTATGATAATGCAGAAATGTAGGACTCTAATTGTTGCTGTTGTTGGTGGGTGTGCTGTTGTTGTCTGTAGATACTATCCAGGCTCATACCAAGAAAATTCTCTAGTTTCCGCACTGAAATATTCATGGAAAATAATATACATAGCCCTTAATTATTTTTTAACAAGCAAAAAATAGAATTAATTAAACATTTAATAAAACTAAACAAACGTGTAACTTTTTTACATATATTGTACACTGTATTTATTAAGTATTCATAGTCTTACAAAAAACAAAACTCGAGTTTTATAAGAGATAACCTCTATTATTATTTATAAATAAGTGGATGGAAAAACTATTAAATTTATTTATAAAATAGAAAATATTTATTTACACTTTTGTCATTCGATAAATAAAGTAAAAACTTGTATTTTTCTCGTTTTAGGAGCACAAATTACGGAGTAAAACACTAACACCAAAAAAACAAAAAAAAAATATATTTAATAGTGTGAAAAGGGAAAAATAAATGAATAAGAACCTTGAGGTGGTTGAGATCTAGTGAAAGCTTCCATAATGCAAAGAGACCCATCTGACTTAAGTGGCATAACAGTCAAAGGAGTGTGAAAATAGTCACTACTACTATCTCCTCCTCCGCCGTGATCGAAGCAAATGGGACCACTGCTGAGTGGCTGCTGCGGCAGCAGCGGCGGAGGAGATAAAAACATACCCACAGGGACAGGAGACTGCTGCTGCTGCTGCTGCGACTGCGAATGTTGATGATGACGAGTGTAATGATCAAGATAATCATGATGATGTCCAACTTGTTCATGTGCAGAAGAAGAATTATTAGAAGCCTCCATTTTCATCAAAGGAGACAAAGAAAAACCTAACCAGTTGTTAGAACTACTGTTACTACTACCACTGTTACTGCCATTGTTATTATGATTTTCACTAATATGCTTCATTATTTTTTTAGGCACGTTTTTCTCTCACTTACTTTAGCTAATACTAATACCAGAATCTTACAGAAGAAGGCAAAATTCAATCATTGGCTAGAAAAATAAACTAATGTGTAGAAAATTTAATGAAGGAGAGAATTTTTTGTTTTTTTTTTTTTTCTTATTATTTTACAGAGAACAAAATGAGAATCCTTTAGACTGAACAAAGAGAATGAAATGAAGAAGAAGAAGAAGAAGAAGAAGAAGCAAAATGTTTTGTAATTTTCATGGGGATCTGTGTATATATTGAGAAAGACTACTCCTTTTACTTTTTTATCCTCTTCTCTCTTGATTCTTTCTCTTTCATCTCAGTTGGGATTTGGGGTTCATAAGACGCTCTTAAAAAATAGGAGGTACCCATATAAAACCCTTGAAAAATCCAGTCCAAAGCTCCAGAAAGTTATTAGGGGTCGTTTGGTTTACACGGGGTAAACAGAATGAAATGAACAAAGGAAAAGAAAGAGAATGGAATGAAATTACCCAAAATTATGAAAGTTGTTTGTTTTAAACAAAAGGAAACACTATCACCAACTTCACCACCACACAACCACCACACAGCCACCTTATTTCTTCAATTCCCACATTTCCCAGCCACCACCCAGCCCCCCACCAACTCATCGCACATCCCCAACCACCACTCACCGCCCTTCGCCCCCCACCAAACGTGCCCTGCTACTTGTCGCCACTGCTCTCTACCCTTGCCGCTGCTCACTGCTGCTCTCGGCGAGGGTGTTAGCAGTGGTGGGTTTGGGTTGTGGGGGTCTCGGGGATGGTGAGTCGATATGGGGTGTCGACGATGGTGAGCCGGTGGGTTTGGGTTTGGGTTTGTGAAATTGTGAGGGTGTTAGATCTGGGTCTTATCGGTGGGCGGCGGTGGTCGGGGAAGGGGTGGAGGTGGTCGGGGAAAGGGCAGCGATGGCGGTGGAGGTGTGACTGGTGGCAGTTGGGTGGTGAGGGTAAAGTAAAAGGGTGGTGGCTAGTGTGAGTGTGGTGGTGGATGGGTGGCTAAGGAAAGGGAATGGGAAAGTCTAGGGGGGATGGGGAATGAAGTTAGAAGGATTTGGGGTAATGGAGGGGGTTAAGGGAATGAAAGAAAGTGTCTAACAAACAACAACAAAGGGAATCAGCTCAGTTGATTCCCATTCCCTTTGATGAAAACCCCCAACCAAACGGCCCCTTATTGTCTTCGGAATTTTTAAGTGTAACAACTTGATCGACACAAAAGTATATGTGGTTAATTTAAATTTATTAAAGTGTTACTCCATCTATCCCTTATTATTTGCACCATTTATTTAAAAACATCACACAAAAGTGAATTTCTAGTGCAAATAAAAAGGGATTTCAATAATGGGGGAAATACAAATTCATGGGAAATATGTTTAAAGTAGTTGTTTGGTTAGCAAAAATGTAGCAAGTGGAAATTCGTTAGGAATTTGGAATTCCTACAAAACATAAGAATTAATTTCTCACACCCTACCTTGGTCACTCAAATTTCCCACAAGTATTCTGGGTGAAATTACATTATTGTCCTCAAAATTTAGGAAAGTAGTTCAAATTATAATAATACATGGGTATTACATAAGTTAATCAAACAAAATATATGAAACTAATTCATGGGAAATACGATTTTCTATATGTCAACCAAACACAATTTTAGTATTTTCTAGGTAATAAAACTTTCCATGCATTGTAACTTCTTTTATGCATTTAATTCTCATGTACAAAACGAGGCCTAAGAAAGTTTGTAAGTAGGATTTGTTATGAAATTGAAAAATGATACAAAAATTTACTGTGGAAAAATAGTCTATACAAAAGTGAAAGATGTGCTATGAGTAAGGAAGGACACGTGAAAAAAAAAAAAAAAAAAAAAAAGATATAATATAACAGTGAATATTATTTTCATACGGAGCACTTGTATAATGAAGTGTTGCAATTTAATAAAATAAGGTTGTTTATATGAAATGTTGCTATTAAAAAAAAAAAAAAAAAAAAAAAAAAAAAAAAAAAAAGGAGGAAGTATCTTATTTACTTCTCCGATTTTATTTATATTTATTTTTTACTTATAACACTTAGACTTATATACTATTCACATATTTTATTTTGACTACATTTGATGATTCGTTTTTAAAGAAAATTATTGTCATGTAAAATCCTGGTAAATTTGTCTCAATTTATACTTGGACTTTTTGTCAAAATCTACCTAATAAAACCCAAATTTTGTGAGAAACTACCTAATAAAAAAATGTTGTAATAAACTATTTAATAAAGGTAAAATGTTGTAATTAACTACCTAAAAAAAGGGAAAATGTTGTAAAATACTACCTATACCGGATTTCCACTGTCGACCGACCTCAAAACACTCTCGAAACCACCGCTTTCATTCCCAAAACTAACACAACTTTTCTTGAAATCGCCTCCACCACACCTAAACCACCTTTCAACCCCAAAACCACCACCTCTAACTCCAAAAACCACCATCCCGAAGCACTAATATACCCTCACCAACTCGGAATATCCTCCAACCACTCTGAAAATAACCTTAAGACCTTGAAAACCAACCCTCACGGTGGTTTCGGGGGTTTTTTAAGGTGGATCAACGTCGTAAAATTAAGACAACGGTGGAAATTCGGTCAAAGGTAGTATCTTACAACATTTTACCTTTTATTAGGTAGTTTCGCACAAAAGTTACGTTTTATTAGGAGTTTCTCACAAAAAGTCCTTTATACTTTCATATATAATTATTAAGGATCTTACTAATAAGCGTTATTAGGGCATTAGAAAACAATCAAAAAAATATTTCATGAAATGGATTAATTTATGAATGCATGTCAAAATCATACATTGATCTATACTATATTATAAACGAATTAGTGAATACACTTTATTTATGATAAGCTTCTTCAATTTAAAACCATGTATGACTCTACTTTTTTATCAAATCATAATTTTATTTAAAGGCTGCTTGATTGGAACTTTTGGAATGGAGTTGGAATCCATTCCGTCTATTTTTTGTTTGGTTGAACTTTTTAAGTATGGGATTTCACACCTAAGGGTTCTAACTCTACCTTGTACCCATGGAATCCCACACTCACTTCTTTCCCTTAGATTCACAATCCATTGTATTAATGAAGCATATATTCCATCCAACATTAAAATCAAACATCTTTAGATCAGACTAGTCTGGGTTTTAGAATCCATAACTCTCTAATATAAGATTTCATATCAATCCATTTCACTTTAATGAACCAAACACCCTCTTATTGTTTCCCTTCTATAGTTCCATGTCCCTTAATATTGAATACTTCGTAATTAATTTACCTACTAGTCCCGTGTTTAATGTTTCCCTAAGCTTGTTACTTTAAATATTGTAACTAAAATATTTCAAGATACATATTTGAAAAACTAAAAAATAGGATGAATCTAATAAGATTCCACTTGACTACGTTACGAAATAGGAATATCTTATTAAATTATGATTTTCCATTTGCTTTGAGTAGTAGCAAGATTCCATTTATGACAAAAAAAAAAAAAAAAAAAAGGAGCATCTTATCTTAACGTTTTTATTTTTGCTTCACTAACTTTATTTTATTAAATTAAATACCTAGTAAAAGCTTTTGTGTACATCGGCCTGTACAATGTAATTAGTGACCATTGAACAAATTTAAGGTACTTTAGATTGGCTTTAAACCTACCTACATTGTGGCTCACGTTTTACGTTATACTTCTATAACTTCTATGAATTATTATAAATTTTTTGTATGCGGCCTGCTGTACCGTGCGACAAGGGTTACTCGAGTTACTAGGTTAAGGGTTACTCGAGTTGTCGGCGTTACTCGAGTTTCTCGGTCAGGGATTACTCGAGATGCCGGGGTTACTCGAGTTACTCGGTCAAGGGTTACTCGAGTTGTCGGGGTTACTCGAGTTACTCGGTCAATGTAATACCCCATATCTTTGAAACGTATTTTCTAATTGATTAATTAATATTTTCTATTTAGTACTTTATTTTACTATTTGAAATTTGGAGCCAAAATGATATTTGAATTTTGGCGCCAAAAGCATTTTAAAACTTAATTGTTATTTTTGGATTTTGGATAAGATTTATCATCCATTTCTTTTATTTTAAAAACCAGATTATATATATATATATATATATATATATATATATATATATATATATATATATATATATATATATATATATATCTACCTTCGTTTCTGAAAATTCGTCGCACTTACTATTCATCTGGTCAAAATAAAATAACTTTGACCACATATTATGATTTATATATAATAGAAATAAATTAGTATGAGGGATCTTATTAGATTCTCTTTATTATAAAATTTTCAAATATCAAATTTTTATAATTTTCACTTATACATAACCGAAAATATTCATGGTCAAAGATGTTCATTGGGGACCGCGCAAATGCAAAGTGAGTTGAACTTTTAGAAATGGAGGGAGTATATAGATTTGGAATCATGTGAGAAGTGTTCTTATGGTGAGAAGTAATTATAACCCTTAGATCTAGAAAATCCAATGGCTGCTATTCAACCCACCTCATTAATGGCATTATTGGTAACCCCTAACCGAGTAACTTGAGTAACCCTTGATCGAGTAACTCAAGTAACCTATGACCGAGCAACCCCTAACCAAGTAACTCGAGTAGCCCTTGATCGAGTAACTCGAGTAACCCATTACCGAGTAACCCTTCAAGTAACCTTTGACCGAGTGAACCCCTTGAGTAACCCCTGTCCGAACGCGTCAATTAACCCCTGATCGAGTAACTCCTAACAAAATAAGGGTAACCCCTGCCACATAGTGTGATCTGTTGCACCAGAAAGTTGCTGATCTTATAATGATTACTTTTACACTCTGGAATTTTATTTTTTCTATTTTGAAGAGAAAATTTATTATTAAAAAAAAGATAACTTTTTTTATTATTATTATTTTTTATTTAATTTTTTTCTTATGATAAATTTTAATCATTTCATAAATCTTTTGTATTTGATAAAATTCAAGGAAATATTGCAATATGAATAAATTAGTGTTAGATAAATGTAAGAAAAGTATACAAAGACCCATGATAATGCTTATTCACCCCAAGTATATTATTTTTTTATTTTTTTATAAACTAGATTAAATCCTATACAATGTATGGTTGTTAAATAATTAAAATGACAATAAATTTTACAAAAATAGAATTAAAAAGTATGAAATATATATCAAAGAAAATAATTAATTATTTAATAGTTATAATAGGCAAATTGATATTTAAGGAAGTTTATCTTAGATTTTGTATAAAGTAAATACAAACCTTATTTGTATGTAACAATAAATTTTTTAGTAAGTAATTTTGGAGGAAAAATTTTTTATATTACGTTGCCAAGCGTCTCGCTAAGTTTCACCTTTAGGCCCTATTCACTTCACCTTACAAAAATAATATTCAGTAAAAATAAGTTCAGTTCATCAAAAATAATTTTTGTTTAACAAAAATAAGTTTAGTTCAGCAAAAATAAGTTTAGTTTAGAAAAAATAATTTTACTTCAGTAAAAATCAGTAATTTTAAAGAGGAAATATAACATAAAATCAGTAAAAATAATTTCAGTTCAGTAATATTAATTTCAGTTCAGTTAA